ATAATTATATCGTTTTAATAAAATTATATTAGAAAAAACTAAAATATTTTAATTATTTTTAAAATAAAAATGAATATATTTTAATCTTTTCTAACTCCTAATATTTTATTAAAATCATATAATTTTAAAATACTTTTTTACTTAATTTTTTACAAGTTGTATCGAGTAACATTAAACTCTTACCTATCTTTGTTTTTTTCCTTGTTTATTTTGGACGTTAAGATGAATATGATTGTAAGTTGTCAAACTTTAGGGTCACTAACAAACTTGTCCCAAAACTTTAAAACTAAGCAGTTGGATTCTTAGTCATTTTAATTACCTGTTTTTGAAGCTCTCGATGACAGCATTGTCGATCTCGTTTTCCGTCCCTTGATTCGATATGGCCATGATGACCTCTTCGTTCTTATGCGACGCATTGTTGATCCACGATGCCTCTCCTCCCGCTGCCGCAGAGTGCAAGAACCGAACGACGGTGAGCCTCGCCTGAGCGTGGAGGGCGACCCTCTTGCTACAAGCCAGAGCCTCTCGATCGTCGGGTCCCCCGAAGAACAAAGTAGCTATGTTCTGCACTGATTGCGAACCGTGCGGTTGCTGGAACCCAGTTTGGCTCCGATCAACAAAAATCCCAACCGAACACGGTGCATGCCGGAGAACCTTCTGGTTGGTGGGCCGAATTCCCACCTTTCCGCCCTCCAATTGCCCGTCGATTCTTTGGTGTTTGTGAAACGGTAGCAAAATAATGGATGACCGTAAATCCTCTGCTCCGTTGCAGACATCCTCGTAAATGTTGGAAAAAACAGAAACAACTTTACCTTGTCGGAGCATAATTTTGGTCTCGGAAGTAAAAGAATCGATGGCGTCATTGATTTCCAAAGCATCGTTTTTGCCATAGTCTTCTTCATCGGAGAACTGGCCACCATCTTCAAGCTGGTGGTACATCAATTTGGTCTTTTTCTTCTTTGGGAGCTCGACCAAGTGCATCAGGTAAGGGGTGATGGGAGCAGTGGAAGACCCACTCAAGGCGGAAATGAGACAGAAATGGCCGGAAACATGGCGTGGAGAATATACACAGCAGATCAATCGGAGCTCTGTATCCGGATGGATGGTTTCCAGGCAGGAATGATACATAGAAAACACCTTTTCGTTGTTCAGTAGACACGCCACAACCGGACCTAATATAATCGTGTTAAGCACTATTATCGTTAAAAACAAACTGTGTATCTCTGGCGTCCACCATTGCTGCAGCAACAAAGATTTAAAATTCATAAAGAGCAAGAACTTAAAGAGATTTCTAAATTAATTAACAACTTTTAGATACTTACATCATCCGGTGCTGAGGTTGCGACGTTTAAAAGAACAAGGTCGAAGTTGCCTTTCAAATTGAGAGCAAAGGAAAGGATTTTGCCATCGTTCCAAGGGATCTTCAAGTAATAGCAAGCGGCAAGAGTACCTGCAATTTTGCAGGCAGTGCTCAAGACGATGGTGAGAGCGATGACTAGCAGCTTTACTTTATCACCAAGGTTACTGACATCGAACTGGAATCCGGTGTAGCCCAAGTATACTGGAACTATGAAGGTGTTGACGGTGTAGGAGAGTTTTTGCATCAATGTCCGAAAGGTTTTTCCTTCTCTAGGAAACAACATACCCAGGAGGAAACAAATCATGATGCTGCTAAACCCACCCCATTCCATGAAGATAGAAAGAGAGACCAACAAAAACAAAATCACAAAGGCTTCACTGTTGGTCAGGTATATGTTGTTTAGATTCCTTTTGTTGAACCAGTTTGCAAAGTACTTGTTCAAAAAGATTATAAGTACAAAAGAAGAGCCTGTGAGAACCGCATTTCCGATTTTTCGCCACCCAGAAAAGGATTTGATGAAGGAAACCACGAAGATACAGTACATTTCATTGATCAAGGAAGAGTATATTGCTAATCGCCCGACCTGGGAGGTCTCAAATTTCAATTCCGATACCAAACGGATGACTACAGGGGAGGCAGAGTTTGCTAAGACTGCGATGAAAAAAAGGACAAATGAAAAGTAGCTTTTGACGATTTTGAGTGCGTGGATGAGGAACCAGGAGACAGAGGCTCCTAAGATTATTGCCAGGATAGAGCCGCCGCCTGCAATGGTGCTTTCCACACGGAGGTTTCGCCAGAGGTAAGCGACGTCGGTCTCCAGGCCAATGGAGAACATGAAGAGTATGCGGCACATGAGGGAGAAGAATTGGTAGTATTTTGCAGAGGAAGCCTGGAGGAAGAATTCCTTGACTTTATCGATTCGGGATAAAAGGGAAGGACCTACAACAATACCAGCCTGATACAGAAGATGAAAATTTTCACAAATTTGTATAGAAAATGAACATGACATATAGACTGAGGAGAGTGGGAGAAAAAGTTACCAGAAGTTGGGCGACAGGTCCGGGTTGACCCAGGGGTTTGAGGAGGAGGTGGAAGATGTGGGAGACAACGAGAATGCAGGCTACCTGAAAGCTTGTGCCGATCATGGGGTTAATGGCATCGATGGGCCGACACACTATCTCGTCTGTGGCCTCCATTGTTTAAAGGACATTAGGAGGAGGAAGAAGAAGAATTAAAGTGAGAGATCAGATGAGCAAAAAGGAGGGGAAATAGAAATAGAAAGGGTAGTGTAAAATTCCCCTCTTCATTTTTGGTCCTCTTGCTCTGCTTTGAATTCTGTTTGCCCTGAATCCTCTGTTTCTTTTTGTTTCTCTGTCTAGACTCCCTGTTTTCTGATGGAAGTCCTTTCTTCCCGGATAGGTAGACATGTGGTCAACCGAATTTCCTGGATGTGAACTCTCATGTTATAAAATTAAAAAAAAAAGGAAAAAGAAAAACCCAGACCAATCCATGATGGAGGTCAAGGAACCAAATTACTAGTACGTACGTGGTAAATTTTTTTTTTTTTTTTCAATGTTAGAGTGGAATTTAAAACCCACACCTCCACCTTCATAAGGATATTTTCAGTATGTAAAATTATTATAATACCTAAAATCCTCTAGTATCATTGACAATTGTTATCACAAAAGAAAAGTACCAAGAAAATTTATATATATATATATATATATATATAAACTTTTTCTCCGATTCCCCATCCCCTTTCCGATTTGAGAATGAGGAAGACACAGATTTTCTCCATTAGTAAAAACGTCAACAGTTCCCGTTATCAACAACTAATATGATGGGGCAAATTTACACCATAAAGAAATTATGACACAAAATGCAAGCAATGCTAGTTTCACATAGTGCTTGAGATGGAGAACATCCGTATGACTTCATTGACAGAATTCATTATAAAAGCATTGTTCCCAAGTACATGAGTTATAACTCATACTTCACAACAAAAGAAAACAAAGCCACACAAGTCATTGTCCATTCCATCTCAAAACCAGAACAAAATAGCAGTTCCTTCAGCATCTCAATTCTGGATCAGTATTCCCCTGAATGCTTTGCCATTTCAGTCTACAAAACAGTAATGAAAAATGTGAGGATTGCTCCTAATATGGAGAATACTAGAAAAGGACGAAGGCAACCATCAGTGAAATTTTGATAAGCCTTTCCAATGGCAATGTTTGAGCCAAATCACTAACAAATGCTAACGCCAAATCACTAACAAATGCTAACTTCTGCTGTAACTTAAGGGAGAACTATGTTAATTAGTTGGTGTAAACTTCATATTGACATGGTCACATGGTAAACCAACATACAAACCACTTTTATTTGAACATAAGAAACCACTAATCAGATCTTAACATCAATCTAAGAATGCTTTTAGACATTAAAAGGGCACAAGGCCAACAAATGTTCTAAGATTTAAATAGATTTTCAACCATGTCCTATCCATGAAAGTGCACTTCATTACCATCAAGCATGCCATGTAAGCACTAAGCCCCTCAAAGAAAAAGGGTTGTCTAAATAAGTTCAATGAAATATGACAAGAGTACTACGAACCTCAAATGCATTCTTCAGATGGTCAAGTTCCTTGTCCAGGTCATTGATGGCCTGATTATATGCCTGCATTGGTGAAGACTGGCTAGTCGTGTGGATCTGCAAAATGACATCTAATTAGTTAACCACCCAAAACCCATATTAATTAAAGGTTCATATGATATGCACTTATGCTTGAAACTTCTTAACTGAAGCACGAGCGACATTTGAAAAAAAAAGAAGAAGTTTTGGTCCAATGCAGATTAGGCAATAAAGTAAAGTTGGACAACTATATTAGTAAAGTTAGACAACTATATTAGTAAAGTTGGACAACTATATTACTGATGAACGTATTACCATTTGATTGATATTCAAATACAGTTCATCTTATTAGTCATGTTATATA